GTGTGGACATTAAGGCCCCGTTTACACTAATGCGTTTTGTTTGAAAACGCATAAGTTTTGCTACGGTTATGCCATCCGTCCACACTACGCCGGAGTTCTCGAGCGCCGAAAACGGAGCGTTTCGAAAACGCTGGAGAGGCCGTTTTCATTCTGAAACGCTGCTGCTCCGTCTCAGTGTGGATGGGGAAAGTCGGAGACATCTGAAAACGACTTTCGCCTCTCTGATTGGGGCTTTTCCTGAATATTAAGTAGCCTAACACACAGTTCAGTCCTGAATCTTCTCCGTGTAAGTTCAGACTTCGCAAGTTTGATCAAGGCTGCATCTCTTCTTCTCAGTTTGATATGGAAAACATACCGAGGACACGGGTAAATCTTCAAAGGCAACAGTGTACTTTATAACTTCATTCACATCACCTTGGCTACGTTGTTTCACTTTCTCAACAATAAAATGTAAACATGATTTAAGGAACTGCCTATTTTCATTTTATTATTAGCAACTTAACAGACAGCAGAAATGTTGAGGCGTCGTGCTGCATATATGAGCGTCATCTTCACTGTGTGGATATTTATAACAAAACGGAGCCGATAACAACTGTCTCCTTTCAATTTCAGTGAAAATACGAAACACACCCTCTCTTTTGCTGAATATCAGTTTTAATAATCGATAATGGCCATTATAAAAGTATAACATACAATAAGTTTATACATTGTAGGAAATAAAGGCAAGCGATCAGTCAATGTACCTGGATTAATCATTAACTTATCTTTGCGCTTAACCAAAACATGTTACCCGTGAACAAGTAACTTAATAGATTCCAATGACCAAAGTCAGGGAATTGGCCTATGTCGTTAGATAAAGACAACAACATGAATGAAATATCACGTTTAGCAAATATAGTGAGATTAGATCCAGCGGGAGATGCGTGATGAGCAGTCCGACAAGCAGAGCTCTCATCTGGGTAGAATGCTGGAGCGCTTGCCCGAGAGCGTCTGTGTGGTCACGTGATGTGCGTTTTCAGCGTTTTGGTGTGGACGGAGAGCAGTTCAGAAACGCTGGGTAAAACGCGAGTGTGGACGTGGATCGTTTTCATTCTACAACGCCGTTTTAAAACTAAAACGCACTAGTGTAAACGGGGCCTCAGGGTGGTCGTGTGGACTTTAAAGGGCCATGAAACCCCCTCGTTTCAGCAGGGTGTTTTCACACCTCTACTTTGGAAAAAGTCAGAAAAGTGGGCGTGTCCAGCTCTGTTTAGGGGGGAGTGTCGGAGGAACTAAAGTGGGAGGGTGTGGGAGTGTCTATTTGGGCACGCGCGAGTTTCAGAGTCAAAACACACACACACACACACACAGGGGAGAAAGTGATGGTGTTTAACCTACATGGGCATCTGTAGTCGAATTATTTGCCAAATGATTAAATGGTGGACTTTAACTGCAGTTTGGCTCTTTCATTCAGGGAATTCATTCATGTCCCTCGCAACAAACGAGATCTTTGATTCGAGGAGCTGCTCTAAGCGTGTATTTTTTCATGCAATGTTTGATACCGCACGGCGAATGAGAGAAAAAAACCCTCCGCATTTCCAAGAAACTTAGATGCACACGGCAGGTAGTGTCAGAAAGCCGCGTGTGTTTTTCCGGTCACAAAATGCGGCGAAAATCCTACACGAGGTTAAAGTTTGGTTGTGGTGCTAACATGTTTACACTCGGTGCAATAGTTAACTTAGTTCGATACGAACAAACTGAATAAACAAAGAGCACTGGTCGCTCACCTACCAAATCTGTAGAGACAGGACAATCACCAGCAACTAGAGCCGCGTCTTTATTAAGAGGAGACTACAAGCGAATCCGGATCTCAGCGTTTGCAGATGAGAACAGCTCTCAGGTAAACAATAATCCTCCTTAGACACGTAAGTTATTGTTGTCGCGCGTCGTGTACACTGTTAATACACATGTGACTCCAGCTGCGCTCTCACAGAGAGAAAATGAAAACAAAACTTCACTGCAGCAAACTATAAAAGCAACACTTCACACTTGTTTTGCCAACACAACGTGGCGTCTCTGTCGTCTAAACACTGCGACAGTAATGAATATTAATGAAGTTGCACAATAGAGCGCGCTGATTGGTTTGAACCAAGCCTTACTCATGCATGAATGCAGCACACTGTAAGACGTAATAAGACACACTCTGGCACAGACGTCCAGTCTGCACGCTGGAATACACGCTATTATGTCATGACCGAGACGCAGCTTCAAAAATTAGTTTCAAACCGGAAGTACGAATTTGCTTAAAATAACGCAAAAACAACCAATTTACACTTTTTAGTGAAATATAGGTGTCCTAATAGTGTTTTTAGCAGTGTGGGACACATATACCACTGTCAACAGCTCAACACATATGTTTTGGTGTTTCGTGACCCTTTAAAAGCAGAGTTTTTGCCTCATGACTTCTTTCTGCTTTCTCCATCCTGATTGGCCAAAACAGTGATGGCATCAGCCTGAATGATGTGTGTTTTTGTAATATCCAGCAATGATGCATTTATTGAACCCAGGCTCATTGAAAATAACATATTTCTGATGTGCTGGAATATAGACAGCGCCCTCTAGTGATTTTGTCATCTTTAACGTGTAACAAAATAAACCTGGAGTAACATATTTTACGTTTCAGTGTACATTTAAGATGACAAAATCACTAGAGGGTGGTGTATGTTTTTATTTTAAATATGAAATACGTTACTTAGGGTACCTTTACTTGTACGTTTCAGACGTTTCTATATTTCTGAAATATGTTACTTAGAGTTCCTTATATGTTTCAGATGTCGAATCCACTAGAGGGCGATGTCCATATTTCTGAAATATGTTACTTAGAGTTCCTTTCCTTATATGTTTCAGATGTCGAATCCACTAGAGGGCGCTGTCTATATTTCTGAAATACGTTACTTAGAGTTCCTTATATGTTTCAGATGTCGAATCCACTAGAGGGCGATGTCCATATTTCTGAAATATGTTACTTAGAGTTCCTTATATGTTTCAGATGTCGAATCCACTAGAGGGCGATGTCTATATTTCTGAAATAGGTTATTAAGAGTTCCTTTCCTTATATGTTTCAGATGTCGAATCCACTAGAGGGCGCTGTCTATATTTCTGAAATACGTTACTTAGAGTTCCTTATATGTTTCAGATGTCGAATCCACTAGAGGGCGATGTCCATATTTCTGAAATATGTTACTTAGAGTTCCTTATATGTTTCAGATGTCGAATCCACTAGAGGGCGCTGTCTATGTTTCTGAAATACGTTACTTAGAGTTCCTTTCCTTATATGTTTCAGATGTTGAATCCACTAGAGGGCGCTGTCTATATTTCTGAAATACGTTACTTAGAGTTCCTTATATGTTTCAGATGTCGAATCCACTAGAGGGTTATGTCTATATTTCTGAAATAGGTTATTAAGAGTTCCTTTCCTTATATGTTTCAGATGTCGAATCCACTAGAGGGCGATGTCCATATTTCTGAAATATGTTACTTAGAGTTCCTTATATGTTTCAGATGTCGAATCCACTAGAGGGCGATGTCTATATTTCTGAAATAGGTTATTAAGAGTTCCTTTCCTTATATGTTTCAGATGTCGAATCCACTAGAGGGCGCTGTCTATATTTCTGAAATACGTTACTTAGAGTTCCTTATATGTTTCAGATGTCGAATCCACTAGAGGGCGATGTCTATGTTTCTGAAATATGTTACTTAGTGCTCCTTATATGTTTCAGATGTCGAATCCACTAGAGGGCGCTGTCTATGTTTCTGAAATACGTTACTTAGAGTTCCTTTCCTCATATGTTTCAGATGTCAAATCCACTAGAGGGCGCTGTCTATAATTCTGCAAATCTGAAATACCTTACTTAGAGTTCCTTTCCTTATATGTTTCAGATGTCGAATCCACTAGAGGGCGCTGTCTATATTTCTGAAATATGTTACTTAGTGTTCCTTATATGTTTCAGATGTCGAATCCACTAGAGGGCGCTGTCTATGTTTCTGAAATACGTTACTTAGAGTTTCTTTCCTCATGTTTCAGATGTCAAATCCACTAGAGGGCGCTGTCTATAATTCTGCAAATCTGAAATACGTTACTTAGAGTTCCTTTCCTTATATGTTTCAGATGTCGAATCCACTAGAGGGCGATGTCTATAATTCTGAAGTATGTTACTTAGAGTACCTTTTATTGTACGTTTCAGATAACAATTCCACCACAGGGCACTGTCTACTTTTTGGAAAATCTGCAATTTGTTGCCTATTGTACATTTTGTTCTACATCTAGGTGACACATATGCTAAAGTGCGCTGTCTATATTTTAGCAAATCTGAAATTCTTTATATAGGGTATGTTTTGTTACGTTTCAGATGAAAAATCCACTAGAGGGCACTGTCTACATTTTTGCAAATCTGAAATATGTTATATGGGTATGTTCTGTTATGTTTCAAATGGCAAATCCACCAGAGGGTGCTGCCTAAATTTTTGCAAATCTAAAAAACATTACTTAGAGTATCTTTTATTGTACGTTTCAGATGATTAATCCACTAGAGGGCACTGTCTACATTTTGGCAAATCTAAAATGCGTTACTTAGGGTATGTTTTCGATATACGTTTCAAATGACAAATACACTGGAGGGTGCTGTATATATATATTAGCAAATCTGAAATATATTATTTAGGGTACGTTTTGTTATGCTTCAGATGGCAAATCCACTTAAAGGCACTGGCTACATTTTTGCAAATCTAAAATATGTTACTTAGAGTATCTTTTGATGTATGTTTCAGATGACTAATCCACTAGAGGGCACTGTATATATTTTAGCAAATCTGAAATATGTAATTAGGCTATGTTTTGGTATGTTTCACATGGGAAATCCACTAGAGTGCGCTGTGTACATTTTCACGAATATGAAATATGTTACTTTTATGCTGATTTCTCAGTGTTTTTCACAGTGCACTGTGTGTTTGTGTGTGTGTAGCGTCTCTGCTGAAGCTGTGGTACCGAGAGCTGGAGGAGCCGGTGATTCCTCATGAGTTTTATGAGCAGTGTGTGATGAACTACGACAGTCCTGCGGCCGCTGTTAATGTCGTCCTCAACCTCCCTCACATCAACAAACTGGTGCTCTGCTACCTCATCCGCTTCCTACAGGTCTGTCTGTCTCTGTGTCTGTAGATCTGTCTGTCTGTCCGTTCATCTCTTTTGGTTTTGGTCTGTTTAAGCCAAAATGAAGTCCAAGCCAAAAATGCAAACACAGGCAACAGCTTATTTCATAATTCAACTCGATTCAGTTCACGTTTATTTGTAGCTCTTTTCACAATGATTATTATTTCAAAGCTGCTTTACAGGTGCACATTACTACATTCAAATTATTACAAATACTCTTATGTTCTTTGGAATAAGCTGCATTTTGTCGGCCGTTTACCTCACCTCAACAAACAGCCCACCAGAGGCCACGATGGAGAGGTACTTGGCAACAATGCCTGATGAGAAATCCTCCAAACGCTTATAAATAACCCACGCAATAGCAGAGTGCATTAAAATGCTGCCGCTAATGTGGTGGGAGATGGTCTCACAGCGCAGTATTCAACAAGCAACTAATGTGTTAATTTAATTGCATTCTCAATTGTTACAACAACGTGGGATTAGCGAGGAAATGTGGGATCATTTCTATATACAATGTCCCATAAATACATGCAAATTGCTTATATGACATACAAGTTCATATTAGGATTTCACATATATAAAATATATGTAGTATATACAACATATATTACGAAATATTGCAAAAATGGCCATTTACCTATTTATTTTTCAATTTTATTTATAATTTCAATCATGATAAAGCCTTTAGTCTAATGTATGTTAATATATGCAAATTACATATGACATACAAGTTCATGGATTTCACAAGTAAAAAAATAAATAAATAAAATAAATAAATAAATATATATATATATATATATATATATATATATATATATATATATATATATATATATATATATATATATGCAACACAAAATATTACTAAAATGGCTAGTTCCTGTTTTTTTGCAAATATTATATATAATTTCATTCATATTAAATCCTTTAGTCTTATATATGGAAATATATGCAAATTGCACATGGCATAAAAGTTAATATATAAAATATATGTAGTATATACAACAAATATTACAAAATATTACCAAAATGCCCATTCATCTATATATTTTTCGAATGTTATATATGTCATTTCTGTCACAGTTGAGGTTGGGGAAAAGGAGCGAGGACTCAAATGGTGCAGCAAATATTGGGTATTTATTGATAAAAATAAAAAGCAAAACAGCAAAACCAACTACCCCGAGGGGAAAAACACTAGCAAAGCAAATAAATACACAATTAAACATGACTGGGCAGGCTGGCAGGGGTCAGAACTGGAAACACGACAGGACAACGCAACATATGATGACAAACTAGCACAGGACAGCAGACATGAGGAGAATATAAGGTGAAGTAAATTAACACAAACAGATAAACTTAACTAATAATGGGTTAACAAGGAGGGTGGGACTAGACAAAAGACATGCACATGACACAGAGAGACAATACAAGCCATGCGCTCACAACACGCAGCCAATGAGGGTCAATCCGCGTGTTCATGACAACAAAAGCACGCGGTGCATGTACACAACACCAACAGAAGACTAAACGCGAGACACTAATACACGATGAATGAAAACACTCACCGTGCACTCACACACGCAGCGTGCATGTTTCATCCCAGCGCTGACCGAAACCGAAACCAACTAGACTGAGACCCTGGAATGAAACACCACCGGCAGAAAGACGAACATAATTACAAATACATCATTTCAAACATAATAAACACTTTAGTCTTATATACGGAAATATATGCAAATTTAGTTATATATATATATATATATATATACATATATATATATATATATATATATATATATATATATATATATATATATATATAAAGTACATGTTGTAAATGCAACATATCTTACAAAATATTACAACAATGTTCATTTATTTACATTTTTCATAAATATTCAATCATAATAAAACAAACCAAAAAAAAATCTAAATCAAACCAAAAAATCATAAAAAATATATAATATTTCTGTTGTATATGCATCATATATTACAAAATGTCACCAAAATGGCCATTTACCTATATATGTTTTTTATCATTATATATCACTTCAGTCATAATAAACCCTTTAGTTTTATATATGGAAATATATGCAAATACATATGACATACAAGTTAATGTTTGGATTTTGCATGTATAAAATGTCGTATATGCAACGTATATTACAAAATATTTGCAAAATGCCCATTTAGCTATATATTTTTCAATCTTGTTTCAATCATTATAAACCCTTTAGTCTTATAAATGGAAATATATGCAAATTATATATTACGTACAAGTTTATATACAAAATATGTTGTATATACAACATATTTTACAAACTATTGCAAAACTGGCCATTTATCTATATTTTTTTCAATCATTATATGTATATTCTATTATAATACACCCTTTAGAAATATACAACTTCTACCACAATACACCTTTTAGTCTTATAAATGGAAATATATGCAAATAAATGACATGTATGACATAATAAGTTCATATTTGGATTTTGCATATGTAAAATATATGTCGTATATGCAACATTTATTAAAAAAATATTGCAAAAATGGCCATTTATCTGGATTTCTTATATTGTTATATGTCATTTTTATTTATATACACCCTTTAGAAATATGCAATTTCTATCATAATACATCTTTTATTCTTATGAATGGAAATATGTGCAAATAAATTACATTTATGAAAATAAAATATTACAAAAATGCCAATTTAGCTATATATTTTTCAATCTCATTTCAATTATAATGCCATTTACATTTATGTTTTCAATTAATTTATAATAATAATAATAATAATATAAAATATAACATAATAATAACAAACACTTTAGACTTATATATGGAAATATATGCAAATTACATACAAGTTTATATATAGAACAGTAGTATATACAACATTCAAATTATTACCAAAATGCACATTTATCTATATATTTTTCAATAGTTATATATGTCATTTCAATCATAATAAACAATTTAGTCATATAAATGGAAATATCTGCAAATAAATTACATTTATAACATGCAAGTTTAAATTTGGTCTTTACATATTTATAAAACACATGTCGTATATGCAACATAAATTACAAAATAATATAAAACTGTCATGTTACTTAATGTTTTTCAATTGTTATACATGTAATTTTAATCATAATACACCCTTCAGTCCTATAAATGGAAATATATGCAAATAAATTACATTAATGACACACAATTTCATATTTAGATTTCAACATATATAAAATATATGTCATATATGCAAATATAACAAAATATTACCAAAATGCCCATTTACCTATGGATTTTTCAATTGTTATATATATAAATTCAATCATAATAAATCTTTTAGTCTTATATATGGAAATAAATTACATTTATGACACACAATTTCATATTTAGATTTCAACATATATAAAATATATGTCGTATATGCAAATATAACAAAATATTACCAAAATGCCCATTTACCTATGGATTTTTCAATTGTTATATATATAAATTCAATCATAATAAATCTTTTAGTCTTATATATGGAAATAAATTACATTTATGACATACAAGTTTTTTTACAATATTTGGTTTTCACATATGTATAATATACATGTCGTATATGCAACATATATTACAAAATATTACAAAAATGTCCATTTATCAATATTTTTTCTGTCGCTATATATCATTTCATTCATAATAAACCCTTCAGTCTTATACAAGTCGATCTTGTTTCTGTCAGCTTTGTGTTTTTGACTGTTTGGCGCCATCTAGTGACTGAATAATGCGCAGGTTAGTGTATACTCCATCAGCTGTTTTGATTTCTGTCAGCTTTGTGTTTTTGACTGTTTGGCGCCATCTAGTGACTGAATAATGCGCAGGTTAGTGTATACTCCATCAGCTGTTTTGATTTCTGTCAGCTTTGTGTTTTTGACTGTTTGGCGCCATCTAGTGACTAAATAATGCGCAGGTTAGTGTATACTCCATCAGCTGTTTTGATTTCTGTCAGCTTTGTGTTTAATTAAAGGATCAATAAACTATTATGGCTCAGAACAATGTTTTGTGTCTACTGTTTATGTTATGTGTCAGGTAGTCGTGTAAAAAGCGGGATTTTGTGCATATAGTTTTCACAGAATAAACCCCTTCAGTGTTTCACATCAGGCTACTGATAAACGTGTCAGGCGTTATTCTGTGATAACAACCTCCTGGATGTACTCTAACTTACTGACTCACTCTTTTAATCTATATGTTCGTCTAACATGAGATCTGTGTGCTCTCCATCCGCAGGTATTTGCTCAACCCGCTAGTGTCTCCATGACTAAGATGGACGTCAGTAATCTAGCGATGGTGATGGCTCCAAACTGCCTGCGCTGCCAGTCGGACGACCCACGCGTCATTTTCGAGAACACGCGCAAAGAAATGAGCTTCATCCGCGTGCTGATCCAGCACCTCGATACCAGCTTCATGGACGGGGTGCTATAGCACACACACATTAACATTCACACCTAACACTTCTTCAGCGCCCACTCAACAAACTCCCATCGTTTACTCATAATCACACCTTCCCCAAAACCGCACCACAACATTAGGTCGACAGATCCACCGCCCCGTCCCATAATGATGATTTTTGAATGTTTCTGAGTAGATCTCTTAACCATCCGTCTTCACATGATAGTGACTGTCCTGCTTTGGTTTCTAGCGTGCATGTATTGTGTGTGCCGAATGTGTCTGTTTTTTTTAACTCGACTGACTTGTAGAGCGGTCCGTCCGATTTTTTTATATGATTAATTTATTTGTTATTTATTCGAATGAGGGGTTTGTAAGTATCGTACTGCCTTTTGAAATAGACAACACATTCTCTGTCCTCACTGATCACATGCATTGGTGTGTGTATGTGTGTGTGTGTGTGTGTGTGTGTGTGTGTGTGTGCGTGATGAGATCAGGTTTAAATCAAAAGTATTGAGGTTATAGATTGAAAAATAATAAGCATAAATAAAAATATATGGGTGGCACAGTTGTTAGCACTGTTGTCTTACAGTATGAAGGTCGCTGGTTCGAGCCTCGGCTGGGTCAGTTGGCGTTTCTGTGTGGAGTTTGCATGTTCTCCCCGTGTTGGTGTGGGTTTCCTCTGGGTGCTCCGGTTTCCCCCACAGTCCAAACACATCCGCGAATTCATGAACTAAGTTAGTTGTAGCGTGTGCACGTAAGAGTGTATGGGTGTTTTCCAGTACTGGGTTGCAGCTGGAAGGACATCCGCTGTGGCTGGAATAGTTGGCGGTTCATTCTGCTGCCATTCCTGATGAATAAAGGGACTAATGAATGAATGAATGACGATATTAGATATCCCTAAAAACCTTCATGTTTTCACAATGAAAAAAATGTCGCGTACGTTTCCAAATTATGCCTTCAGAGCTTTTAATTTAAATCACAGCATCATGATTGGTCCCGTAATGGTGATTGACATCTGCTCAGCTAGCCAATCAGATGAAGGGGGAGATGACATCACTCCAATGCAACTAGAAATCCAAGCACAGAACCATAAGCACACCACAAAAAGTATTTAAGAGCCCCTATTTTGCATGACAAAGGGTCATATTTTGGTTTTAGGGGTCTCCAACAACATGCTGATAAGCGTGCAAGGTCACATAACACTTTCATTATCTTAAAATCTGCATTTATTTTGACCTAATTATCCCAACGACTCCCATATGATTCGTTTTTCCTCCTGATGACCCAGTCTGTTGCGATTGGTTGACTGCATTCAGCGCGAGACAGAGAGAAACGCCCACCATGATTATGAAGTAGCATAGAGTATGTGAGAGCTCAATGTAGGAGTGCAATAAAGCAATGCAGTTAAACACCAGCATATTATTGTGCGTTCACATTAAAATCGATTCATTTTCAATGGGAGCCAGCGGCGCGGCGCGTCTACGCCGGTGTGGGCGTCGAGGAGAGTTGAAATCAAGTCAACTTCATAGTACTGAGAATAAGGTTCGACGGCAACCAATCGGAATGGAGACGTCCATTGCTTGAGAGGATTCCAAAGAACGGTCCTCTGAACTTTGGATTCGACTACAGTTCTTCCCAAGGGTTTTAGTATTGCAGTTGCTCAGTTTCCAATTATTTATGATCTTTTCTTTTTACGATGACATACATAAAAAATGTAAGTACTGGTGAGTTACTGACATGCACTAATGTTATAAATGTTTTTTTTCTTCAAAAAAGCTTGAATCTCATTTAATATACGACAAAAAAATCGACGAATCCCGCGTTGCAGCACAGCACTAGGTCGGCTATACTTTGGTGTTGTTGTAAAAATGAACTTTTAACCCTTTATTCCCCGCAGCCAAATCTTTGTCTATCAGTGGTGCAGTAGGTAGTGCTGTCGCCTCACAGCAAGAAGGTCACTGGGTTGCTGGTTTGAACCTCGGCTCAGTTGGCGTTTCTCAGTTTGCATATTCACCCTGCATTCGTGTGGGTTTGCTCCGGTTTCCCCCACTGTCCAAAGACATGCGGTACAGGTGAATTGGGTAGGCTAAATTGTTCGTAGTGTGTGTGTGGATGTTTCCCACAGATGGGTTGCGACTGGAAGGGCATCCGCTGCTGGATTAGTTGGCGGTTCATTCCGTTGTGGCGACCCTGGATTAATAAAGCGACTAAGCCAACAAGAAAACGAATGAATGAATGAATTTATGCATGTTATTTTTCTATCTGTGGCCTCAATACTTTCGACTAGAAACTGATCCCATAGTGTGTGAGTGTGTGAATGAAGAATTGAGTGTGTGTTCATTTTTTTGACATCCAGCGCTACTTGTTTTATACACTATTGTGTACGTCTCACTGAACTGGTACAACACAAGTGCCCCTCATAGTGACCTACCTGCGCTAAAGGTGAAGTGTGTAATCGGTTTGCAGAAATACCTTCATTTTGACACTCTCTGAAGAGAAATCAGCACACACTGATAGATCACAATACATTACATGCTTCACCTGGAAATTCTCACGTACACTTTGGGGAAAAAACGATGTCTTGTTTTCCAGCACAAATGCCTAATCACTCTTAATTCAACTTGGATGTTAAGATATTAAGCCACATTTTCTGAATAAATGTATCAAAATTAAGCGAATAATACAAAGTCAAATATTATTCACCTTTTGAAACCACTGACCAGTGAATGCATCCTCATTTAATAAGCAATAGTTAGTGATGAGTCATTGAATTATTCGAAAATAACACAAGTATGCATTATTTTCTATAAGTTCAATGACCTAAAGGCATTTATTCAGCTTATACTATGGTTCCCACAGCTAAATCCACTGTTTAGATGTTATATTTGTCAGGTTTTTGCCTTCAAACTACTCCTGTGTGTAGCACTAGTTTCCTCCACATCTTCCAAAGCCTTCTGTTGTGTTTTGATGTGATTTCTGACTGTTGCAGCGGTGAAATAACTCAAATCAAGCAGGGTAGTGATATGGAACTACAAAACCTGCCGAAACTACTTCAGTTGTGCATTTATCTGAAATTAATTAAACTCCTTAGAATGATCATCAGCCAATCAGAATTGAGTATTTGACTGTTGCAGCGGTGAAATAACTCAAATCATTTAGCGTAGTGATATGGAACCGCAAAACCTGCCGGAACTACTTTAAATGTGTGTTTATCTAAAAACAAACACCTTAGAATGATCATCAGCCAATCAGAATTGAGTATTTGACTGTTGTAGCTGTGAAATAACTCAAATCATTTAGCGTAGTGATATGGAACCGCAAAACCTGCCTGAACTACTTTAAATGTGTGTTTATCTAAAAACAAACACCTTAGAATGATCATCAGCCAATCAGAATTGAGTATTATACTGTTGTAGCTGTGAAATTACTCAAATCATTTAGCGTAGTGATATGAAACTGCAAAACCTGCCGGAACTACTTTAACTGTGCGTTTATCTGAAAATAACCAAACACCTTAGAAAGATCATCAGCCAATCAGAATTGAGTATTTGACTGTTGGTGCTGTGAAATAACTTAAATTATTCAGCGTAGTGATATGAAGCTGTAATGTGCTTAAAACCTGCCGGAACTACTTAAGCTGTGCGTTTATTTGAACATAACGGCACACCTTGAAATTCTCATCAGCCAATCAGAATCAACCATTCAATAGACGTGTGATATAATGTTATATAGAGCTTAAAGCAACATATTTTTTGTTGTTTTTATGATCATTTTCCTAGCAACAGAGAGTGTAAATGTTCTGGAAATAAACCTTCCTTAAAATAACAACGCCTTAGAATCCTCATCAGCCAATCAGAATCAAGCATTCCGTAGACCTGCTGTAAAAGAATGTTTATACATTTGTGCTGGTTAACAAGACAAGAGTTTTTCCAAGGTATTCACACACGCATACAAAAACACTCATTTACACACACACACACACACACACACACACACACACACACACACACACACACACACACACACACACTGATTTGGTTTTTGGTGCTCGTAATGTTCTATATCACACTGCCAAACACACAATATTGTTATTCTGTGGCCATTCCTGCCTCCAGGAGGCGTATCGCTGAAAAAAAACAAGAGAGACAGACAATAATGGATGGAGAGATAAACAAAAATAAAATGAAATGTGAGAAATGAAGGGGGCGTTTGCACAACTTTTTCCGATTTTAAAACTTTTAAAGCATTTCGGCCGTTCGTTTACACAACAGCAGCATTCTGGGGACCTGAAAATGCAATGTTTTTAAAGAAACAAAGTACAGTTTATAGGCATGATGAGCAAGAAACACAATAACAATGGTAGACTACAGGAGTGAATGAATGTGCACAGGCGCATGGTATTTCTGCCCAAACTCAGAGCGACATCTACTGGCCTGGACATTTAGAATATGGCGCTTTTCGTTGTTTCACTAGCTATGTTTCCATCGATCTCATTTTGTATGTACATTTTTTGGAATATTTCATTTAAAAAAAAAAAAAGCTGCAAACATTTTTTTCTTCATATTGTGACGCAGTTCCAAAAGAAAAGGAATAATAAATGAGAAAACAGAGGTCGTGGCTTGTTTTGTTCTACTGCAAGCTGATTGGATGTAGTAAAGTAGGCGTTTCATTCAGTAAGATGGGGAAAAGGGTCAATCTATGCTTTTAAAAAAAACCACTCTATTAAGTTTAGGGAAGAAAGAGGGCGGATCAGTTGCTGCTTTTAAAACACTATCGGTTGGGTTTAGGGAACGAAGAGAGCGGGTCCATTGTTGATTTTGAAAACACTGTCGGGTGGGTTAGGAAAGTGGGTGAGCGGGTCATTCTGTGCTTTTAAAAACACTATTGGTTGGGTTTAGTGGGTGGGTGGGTTAATTGGTGCTTTTGAAAACTATTGGTTGAGTTTATGGAAGTGGGTGGTCAGTTCATTCTGTGCTTTTGAAAACACTATCGGTTGGGTTTAGGGAAGTGGGTGGGGTGGTCATTCTGTGCTTTTGAAAACACTATCGGTTGGGTTTAGGGAAGTGGGTGGGGTGGTCATTCTGTGCTTTTGAAAACACTATCGGTTGGGTTTAGGGAAGTGGGTGGGGTGGTCATTCTGTGCTTTTGAAAACACTATCGTTGGATTGAGGGAAGTGGGTGGGGTGGTCATTCTGTGCTTTTGAAAACTTTGGGTTGGGTTTAGGGAAGTGGGTGGGCGGGTCATTCTGTGCTTTTGAAAACACTATCGGTTGGGTTTAGGGAAGGAAGAGAGCGGGTCCATCTGTGCTTTTGAAAACACTGTCGGTTGGGTTTAGGGAAGTGGGTGGCCGGGTCAATCGCTGCTTTTTAAAACACTATCGGTTGGGTTTAGGTAAGGCGTTTGGCGGGTCATTCATTGCTTTTGAAAACACTATCGGTTGGGTTTAGGGAAGTGGGTGGGCGGGTCATTCTGTGGTTTTGAAAACACTATCGGTTGGGTTTCGGGAAATGGGTGGGCGGGTCAATCAGTGCTTTTGAAAACACTATCAGTTGGGTTTAGGGAAGTGGGTGGGCGGGTCATTCTGTGGTTTTGAAAACACTATCGGTTGGGTTTAGGGAAATGGGTGGGCGGGTCAATCAGTGCTTTTGAAAACACTATCGGTTGGGTTTAGGGAAATGGGTGGGTGGGTCAATCAGTGCTTTTGAAAACACTATCGATTGGGATTAGGGAAGTGGTTGGGCAGGCCAATTGCTGCTTTTGAAAACACTATTAGTTGAGTTTAGGGAAGGAGGTGGGCGGGTCATTTTGTGGTTTTGAGAACAATATCGGTTGGGTTTAGGGAAGTGTTTGGGCAGGTCAATTGCTGCTTTTGAAAACACTATTAGTTGAGTTTAGGGAAGGGGGTGGGCGGGTCATTCTGTGGTTTTGAAAACACTATCGGTTGGGTTTAGGGAAATGGGTGGGCGGGTCAATCAGTGCTTTTGAAAAACACTATCGATTGGGTTTAGGGAAGTGGTTGGGCAGGTCAATTGCTGCTTTTGAAAACACTATTAGTTGAGTTTAGGGAAGTGGGTGGGCGGGTCATTCTGTGGTTTTGAAAACACTATCGGTTGGGTTTAGGGAAATGGGTGGGCGGGTCAATCAGTGCTTTTGAAAACACTATCGGTTGGGTTTAGGGAAATGGGTGGGCGGGT